TGCAGAAAAAATGGTTAGCGTGAACTCGAATTCGCAGCCAGAAGGGCATTTGAGTTTGATTTATTACCAGTTAAAAACTACTAACTGAAAGTCCTATGTAGTTAGGATTTATTTTGGAACGAATAGATTGGGAGGATTCTTATGAAAGTCAAGCAAGTAGGACAATATTTAGCATTTTCCTCAAAGTAAGTAAAAACTGATCCTATCCTCTTAACTGCCCATCTTTAAGAGCAAAATTGAAAAGGTACTAAATTACCTCTCATTGAATCCATATTCCTCCTAAGACTTTTATGAAAGAGGGTGTGCAATAGACTTACCTCCACGTGGTGCACCCTGGGCAACGAATACTCATACGGCAAAAAAGTCTATTAACTGGCAGTTAACTTCTGACTTCAAACTACCATGGTCATACTGCTTGCCCTACACATCTTACCTTTTCTCTGCCTTTGTGTCTGTCTGCCTCTTCTACATCTGTGAATCGCTCTTCTGTACCCCACCCCTCGACTTTCTTCTACTTTGATGAACCTTCCCTCTGTGAAGCCTGAAGTCAGCTAAATGGCTAATGATAGCTATCAAAACGCCTGCCATTTGAAATAAATAACTTTTATGAAAGAGAAGACCAAAAACTAGTTTGAACGAATATGCAATGGTCAAGTGGAGCTGAATGAGAGGGGAAAGGAGGAAGGAGTAGTACGAGGAATCGAAGGAAGTGGAAGGCGTGAGTAGTGGGCAAGGCCAATTCGGTTTGTGAAGAGCAGGCGAAATAGCTGACAATAAGGCGGCTAACCCATTTAGTGTTCTTTGTTAAGACAGTTTGGCCTGACGCGTGAGTAAATACATGGAATGAGTGAACGGGCAATATGAGTCATAGTGCCAGGTGCTACTAAGTCCGTGTTCAATAAGAAATAACTAGTAAATAATTGATATTTTTGTCCGAGTGATAGATCAATTTGCACTAGTTCAAGATAGGGATAGTTCCGCAAGTGATTCATGTAAGAGGGGAGTTCAGGAAATCGTTCTCTTGTGTACGTCAATCTGCATTGCCGCTTCCTTTGAAATACCTGAGAAACAATTTCAAATGAATTTGAGATAGTTGGACTAGTATGCAATAATTGCTCATGATGTGCTGTTTCGTTTAACATAAAAATAAAATTAGGACAGTTTATTTACTCCTCTCTCCCTAAAAAAATGAAACCTCTTTAAAGGGTTGACGGTAGTTTGTAAAATATAGCTATTCAGCAACTCGAACGAATAAACGAGGCCCCCTCCAGTCATTCCCAAATGGCCGCCCTTATATTAGTTAATACGGAATGCGCGATAGACTTACCTCCACGGGGTGCACTCTGGGCAACGTGTACTCATACGGCAATAAAGTTGACTTCTCACTTCAATCTACCATGACCCCGGTGCATGTCATATTCGACCACTTTCACGGTACTCACCTTACCCTTTCCTCTACCTTTGTGTGTCAGCTCGTTTATATCTGTGAGTCACTCTTCTGTTCCCCCCTCCCTCGACTCCTTTAACTTAGATGTTCCTCCCCTCTGTGAACCCCGAAGTTAACCAAAGGGATAATGATAACTATCACAAAACCTGCCTATTGATATAAAAAAATGTTTGTTAATACACTAATTACATTTACAGGAATCTGACCTTAGAAGGTCTGAAAAAATATTCTCCAGCTATTATTAGAGAAAAATTGAATAAATTCACTTCTTGGTAATATTTTTTGTCTGAGAAAGATGAACTCCTAAGGTCATTTAAGTCACTGTTATTAGAAAAAAAGACAGTTGGTGAGGAAGTGGTTCCTGTCTACGATATGGCAGCATAGATGACAAATCAATGCATTGTATTGACCCCTGAACCTCCGTACATATCAATATCTCCTTAGCATATGTTCTACAATTCTTTAAAGGGACTTTTAAAAAGTCTCAATTTTTTTAGAATCTCCTTTGATATGAGTATTATCTTAGAAATAAACTGAAAATAGTGGACACAATACCAGAACAATTCTGTTTTAAAAACAGGTGAATGTTTGCTCACATTGACAGTGGCAGTCAGTTGAAAACATTATTAAACTGGAAGATAGTGATAAAAAATAAAGATTGACCTGTAAATTTTTCCACCAAAGATTTCACTTAATCAAATTAGGTATCCCTATTAATGCCCAAAATATAATTCATTTACGATGATGTTATGAATTTGTGTGATTTAAAAGGTATGTGGAAAGGTATTAAAGCAATGAAGACTTTAAGGTTACTAAAACGTCAAATCCCATTTAACTGCTGATAATGAAGGCGGGTAATGAGGGAGGCATCTGAAAATCTGTAAACTTATTTTTAAACCAAATTCAAGTTTGAGCTTAATCCAACCTTTAAACCCATTACACCTATCATAATATTGGTCTCGAACACTTCCGAAGTGCCAAACAAATGGTTGGCACAAAACTAAATAAAATTTGTCCACTTTTACCTACTTTTAATATAATCTCAGTGCCTTATAAGAATGTTTGTATAAAATTAATGGGTGAAAAGAATTCAATTCAAATAATTTAAGTGTCTTGGTTTGCTTATTTTATTTTATTTCTTGCGTATGCTCATTGGCCTTTCTTACCCTCGAAATAAATTCCAAGCATGAGCTTGTGTTTACTGAAGTGGTAACTTACGTATCCTAATATGCATTTTTTTCCTTATAAATGCTTCATTAAACAATAATTTCCTCTTCATTTAATATTAAAGAACCAGACTCTTGTGTAAATATTGGTTCCAATCAAGGTAGTCCCCATGACCCTATTAGTTGGACATCAGTAACATTGGCGCATTTTTATTGGGTCATGCACTAACTAATCAGCATATGCGAGTTGGTAGACAGCCAATGAGAGTGCAGCAACGCTTGTTTAATGACACTTAGGGGCAGGCATGCCGCAGTTCAGCATTAATCAGAAATTCCAGCTCACTGGACCGGTCAGCTTGTGGATATTAGGGTCCTCTGAACACTGCAACAGTTTCACACAGGGCGACCTAGTTTCTACTGGTGAGTTCACTCATTTCAATTTTCACTTTCTCTTAAAGCTTTTCAATATCATTTTTGCTTTCCAGTTTGTATGAGATCTCAGCTTAATTTTGTTAATTAGTAACCATTAAAACGTATCTTGGATTCATTGAAAATTTACTAGAAAAGTTTTTGGGTTGGTATCTCTCTTATAAATGTTATAAATCCTCGATGGACACTCAATATGTCAGATCATACTAGTGAATAGCCATAACGTGAAATCTATTTTGTTAGACACTGTTAACTATTACACACTGCCAAGGTACAAAATCATTTTAGGAAGGTGTTCACAACATCAAGCCATTTCACCTTTATAGAACTGGAACTAGAGAATTCGGATCTGGATTCGTAATGAAATCCGCTCTGTTCTTCCCCTCTTAATCCTTCGTGCTATATCTTCCCATGGTATAATGTGGTTGACTTAATCGAATTTTGCCGGCACTTGGTCATTTGATTAAATTAGATCTGATTAGCCAAATATTAAATTTATATTTTCATAACCTATAGACTTTATTTCACAGTTATTGGTAAAGTCCTGTGAGCTTGACTATGATCTCAAAAGCGTATATAATATCATTAAGATTTTACGTTTGGTGGGAATTCTTTTTTTCCAAGGTGATTCTCTACTCTTATTGGTAGGACTTTCAATACTATTTCATTAGATTACTAATGAGGTCAATTGCAAGGGAATAACTGCGAGAATCTCCATCGGGGATGTTCTGAAGTTTTTTTTTCCTTATGATAACCTGTGAAAATTGTTGATTCTATTGAATTCAAGCCGATGTAAGCAGTTTATCTCGCGCGGTTTTCCGCCAATTTTAGTTGTCAAATTTAGTTCTTTGGCCTTAGAGTCCCGCATAATCATCTGTCTGTTTCTTTGAACATATTTATTTTTAGGAACGGCAAATAAAAAGATAAAATGGCTTAGTCTACTATTTCTATCTTGAAGGCATTCAGTATATGGGGAAAGTTGGCCTAATTCCAGTAGTGCTTCCAGGGCGTTCGTTCTCTTTGCTTTACAAAACTAAATGTTGTCCATTTAGTGTGATCGGGTTTGTGCTGATTGACATTTTAATGACATTTATTAGGTGAATATTGCCCAAGTAGATTATTTGTCAGGGTGTATAATATCATTCCTCTATCCCCCCCCCCTCCAATAGTCAAAGCATGTTCATTGTTTTCATTTCAATATAGTCATATGTCCAAAGTTCAATGGCGGCTTGTAGTGGTATTTGCTCAGTGGTAGCTCTGAAATTAGGCCGATTTGAGGTCAATTAAATCTCGAAATTACTTGCGCAGTTCTAAGGTCAATAAAAAATTACTCGCCACACTAAATGTGCACATTTCTCTTTCTCAATCTCATGTCCTTAAACGATTCGAAATGTTAATTCGTTTCGTTTTTTTATTGCGCAATCGAGGAGGGGGGAGGGGAGTAGCGTTAGGATCATGTCATCGGCATTCAGGTTGTATGATACCCTTCTTACAGACGGACATTTCTTTCTCGCACTCGTAAACACTTCCTGTTCGTTCCAAGGTGTTATATAATTTGAATCCTCAGTGAGACAAGTTGAAAGAAATGTTGATAAAAATGGGGGGGGGGTTGATGAGTGACTGGAAGGCTTTAGAATTATTTTTTAAAAGCTTTGGTTGAGCTTGCTTTTTCACTGGCTACTGCGGGGTTCAAGTTACGACAACGGGCGACGCTTAATGAGCAATGACCTCTCTGAGGTAGAAGCCAGTGAGTTTGCTGCCTCTCCCACTGCCATGAGTCACCAACTATTAGGTCGACGGCAATGTCATAAAATTTCCCCTTTTGAGCTCACTCTTTCAACCATCATGTGAGTCGTTGAAATCCCCTGCCAGAGATAGTGCAGGCGATATTATGACAAGTTATACTCGTTCAGTTCTGTCATAGCCTAGCTCCTTTCTCCTTACCGTTATTGTTGGGCCGTGTGTCGACATTAGTCACCCCATTCGCCAAATTTTAATAAATGTTCAGTTTTTTTTGCGCTGACACCAGGGCAGATTATATGGTCCAATCTGCTGATAAAATATCCGAAAATAAGATTTGGCTGTGGTCTAAGGAACACGTGATTTTTTTAGTTGCCCATACATTAGATTAGACCCAGTTTAAAGCCATGCTTGGGAGTTTTAACCACAAGTTTATCTTCCAATTTAACTATCACTTAAACAGCTCATTTTTTAAGCCGAGGCCAGTTCCATTGAATCGTCTGGAAGCTTTTAATTTTCACAAGAACTTTTACATCGTGAGACTTACGCATCCTGAATTCATTCCATTCTTTCAGGAGCTCTGTATTCGCTACTGCAACAGCTGGTAGATTGATGACATGAATCATAGTGTATGCTCTTAGCTACCATTCTCTGCTTGAAAAAAAAGAGAAAGATACATGTCAATTATTCGAATGCAAAATGTGACTAACATCCCAGAGTGTGTAAGTCAAGATAGACACGCAGATCACAGGAAAGCACAAATTCCACTCCATGGAAGCGTTTAACTTATACATGTTTGCAACTCCCCCTCCCCCCCGATTGGCTCGACGTAAATTGTCACACAATGAGCCGGTGTGCGAAAATTTGATCTCCCCTCCCCCTTCTCAGTGGTGGTGGTTCCTTCAAACAGTCCTTCCCCTCAACATTAGACTGAATTCAGGTCAAGGGTAAAAATTCTGGGGTGGGGAAACATTTATCGGTCGAATTAGGCTCCCTGATGGGTTTCCTGCTGTCTGGCGTTAAGTAAACATAATTTGTGCGTAGACTAAGATCATATTTTAGATCAATCAGAGAGCGAATGATTTAATCGCTTCCGCTGAACTTTTTGGCGCCCATTTTGATAATGACCTTCCGACTATCGTCCTCGTTCCTTGCGTTTTTTTAATAATGGTGCTTTTTCCTTCCTCATGCCTCGGCGCATAAAGATCTTATCAACCTGACCAACTACTTTCTCGCAGATATATATAATTCCTGTCTCTGGAAGCGCACTTGGAATTAAAGTGCACTATTTAAGTTGTTTTACGTGCTTTGGAAAGCTATTAGCAGCAACACCCATCTGCTCAAATTTGTCTAACGTCTATCAGAATCGCAAACCACGCGTGACTCATTCAAGTGGTGACAATGGAACCTGCATTTGCTCTTTCTTTTGCGTGTTGTGTGCTCCGTCTGAAATAGCAATTATTTATGTCGTGGGTCTCGGCCTAAAAGCTTTGAATGTGGATGTGGTAATGGCTAAGTAGCCTAGTCGCGATTGTTGTACGCAAACGTCCCATCTCACAAAACATAAATCTCCATTACCTACCAGACTGCGTAAGTAAAACACTTTAAATGACGCTGTTTAAAATTCCCATGAAGTCAAGGCAAATATTGACTCATCTCTCTCCATTTGCTGATGGACACTTATATGCAAGAGTTTCACATAGATCAAAGAGCACGATATTTAGTATGTATCCGGTTTTGTTTATCAACTCCATCTAACTCTCGCATTAATAGTTCAGTCGAGTTATGTTATGGATACCTAATTTGCATGTCATGAATAACCATGTCCTTTGAAGTGATTTAATCTACCAAAATATCATATGTTCATTATGCCAGAATCTTTGGAACAGCATCGTTGTTCTGTGACTTCCGTACCTGTTAGATAAAATTGAGTTATCGTTTATCAGACTCGATTCGAATATAAACCTTTCTCTAGCTAAGATTCATAATTAAAAAGGGCGCTTTAGAGGTGGCGTGAGTGTTCCAATTTCAACGCCAAATCTCTCATATTTTACTTCTGCTTGAATCATCTCTCTACTCCCGACATATCAAATAATCTTCCACCATTCTCATGCGCCATATGTACTATTTTTAGGATGTTTCCATTTTTGTTTCTATGACTGGGGCGGGGGGGGGGGGGGGGGGGGGGTGAGGAGAGGAGAGGAAGTTAGACAGTTTTGTGGTAGCCCAGACTGTCTAGAGAAGAAAGGAATTTGTTTTGTTTGAATTTTTAGGAAGACAAATTGGCCAGGTGTATGTCTAAAAAGTAGGTCACTCCGTGTTCTCGTATGTCGGTAGAGATTTTCGCTGTTCGCGCTTGGATTGGCGATACACCTTGGGGCCCCGGTGTACCTTCAATTACTATAAACAGCAGTGAAGTTCCATTAGCACTAGAGGGATTTTGTGCCATGTGAAGGGGTGACTAATGTTTGTAATGGAGAGCGTTGCAGACTCTGTCTGTCGGAACGTTTTTTTGGATGGCCCATCTAATTGTGGAGAGAATGGTATCGAGCTAGACCGACCCTGGACAAAACCAGGTGACGCATCTCCACAAGGCTAGTGCTGGAGGGAGAGAGTGAAAAAAAATTTTACCCTTCAAATTAATTTTTCTTAACGGCTTGCGTATGTGTATACCCATAATGAAAGGTGATGACTTTTTTCTGACTCATACCCTGCAGGTCCTTCCTTCTTTGTGTTTGTGAATGGTCGCTGCACTGCTTTGAAAAACCGTTTGCTAAAACCAATCAGATGCAATTTTTGTGTGTCTATAATTAACGTTTTCTTTTTGTGTCCTTATCTGCCATTTAGGTGGACTCAAATGCATGCCTTGTTGTTGATGCTTGGTGTTCCTTGTATGTTACAATTGTGATAGATGGGTAGTTCTTTAGAGTTTACATTACAACTTAAAGGAGCCACATTATTTATATGCAGTACAGGCTGTCACGATCACCGGATTGACCACTTGTCAATAGCAAAAAATTGGCTTTTTTAAGTTTAAATTAATGGCGCCTGAGAAGGTCCTCCCAGCGGAATCCTAAATAACAGTTTTCATTAAAGACCAGGCCCCCTTTCATTTCTTTGAAGCTGACTACAGATAGATTTCCCACTTGAAATTTGGGTCCTTTAATCAAGATCTAACATGCTATTTGCGTGGATTAGTTAGGAAATGCTACCTGTCTACATGTTGGCATGCCAACTGCTTGACTAGTTAAAATATACTCCCTAAGGCCTCATCAATTTAGGTCACGATTGCGGTCAGTCTATGTAAACACTTCATTTCTCCCCTCCTCGGGGAATAAGTGAAATTTAAAGAAGATGCATTAACTTAACTCATTAGGTAATAATTTAATTAAACTAGTTTTTTGCTCCTATTGTAATACCTTCCAAATTGGCCTGCTACTTGAGTTTTCTATTGCATTATAATGCACTAAAAGTATTTTGACTTAAAGCGTACGTCTTTCAATTGGTATTTTCACCAATTCAGGTAGGTTGGAAGGAAAACCAAAATTATTGCCATCTCAAATTGGCATGACAACTGCTGTTTCCACACATTTGACACATTCAGAAATTAAGGAGCAAAAGTGGGCTGTACATTCAACTTTTGCCGTAACTGGGCTATTAAAAAGTTGGTTGCTGTGCCCTGAGCTTTGGTAAACACTTTACCGGTGGGTCTCTGTGACAGCTTTGAGGTCAATTTGTGTGACCTCAAGTACCACAATTTATGACATCTGCTTAACTTCGCCCTGGAGTTATTTGTCCCAATTTCTGTCGTCTTCGGCATCTCGTAATTTGTAGAGTTTCATCTAATTCTGTTTTATTTTTTTTCTGGGAAGAACGTAAAAATCGACCCAGCTAACTTTCCCATTGTTATGTCTATCCTATTCCATTTTCCCTTCTGATTTCTTCCCTTACATATCACAAAAGTCGAGACTGTAATGATCCTCGTGAAAGGAAATTTAGGTATTCCCGTTGAAATACGGTTGATTGACTCTGTGAAAATTAATCTGTTGGGGGATTATTTGTCAGCGAGTGTTCATATCTCTCACGGTGAATGCAAAAATTGCGCACTTTAGATCCCCTGTGCCTGGAATTCCGAGTTTTAGGAAAGTCTTTCATTATTTTCAACATTGACACATCTATAATTTTTTTTCAACAGCTTGATTAACCCCAGAGTCTTGGTAAATAAATAATATGTGCGTACGCATATTATCTACTTTTCCTAAATCTAATTAGACTTCGTGTCATAGTACTTGCACAGAAGAGATAGGCACTTAAAATAGGCTAATTCAAATCTAGCACAGTTTAGTGTACCTAACCTTTACCAGGGACAGGGACCAAAAAAATTGTGGCTTTTCTTCCCCTAGTAAGAGCCGTTGCATGCTAATTTTAATAAATTATTACTAAAGCGGTCTCTCCCCTTTTTTGTAGGGCATGACAACCTAGTTGTCTTTATTTCTAGTCTTGCTACTGGTTTGTTTCATTCAGTTACTGCGGCTTTTCACGAACACCTGCCTTTAGAAGTGAGATTTAAGGGTAGATTTGATCAGACCCGCAGTCCTATGCTGAAAAATCTCCTGGTATTTGCTGAACAAAATCAGTTTAGTGATAAATAAGGCTACAACGTTGAATGATTACTGGTCACCCGGCTAATGACGTGCGCAAAAAATGGGGCCGGTGTCCACAAGAGAGTGAATGTCTTATGCATAATCTGGGAGGCAATAAGTCAATTTAATAATGTCTATACCACCCCTCACATCATAATGAGTCATATTAATGCGCAGAACGAGCTATGGCACGTTGATTCTACTTCGTTAATGGCATGCGCTTTTTATTTCTTCTCTATTGTGCTACGCTCTAAAATTACACTTGTTACGCCTTTTTTGCACGTTCATTGTTAACAAGCCCACCTTCATTCATTGAAATCGGAAATGAAAAGTTCTCCTCAGTTATCTCTCTCTCCCTCTTCTACTACTAGAGGGTTGCGTTTCGCATAGCATCATAGCTACTGTTTAAAAATGCACTTAATTCATCTCAATAAATTATCCGTGAAGTGCGTCAAATGGTAGAGAGGGAGAGAGAGAGAAATGTTGATAATTTTCAGTCTATAACCATTAGAAAGCTTCTGTGATTGATTAATCAAGCCTCACATGTCTGCATAAACCTAGGTACTGCTACGTGCTAACTTGAATTGATGTGTCCTTTTGCTGGTTCTATTAGGCATCGATTACTATGGTAGTCTTGAATTTGTATAGGCAGAGTAGGCTTCTAGTTTACGGGCTAAACTCCTTAAAAGCTATGAGGAATGCTCTGTTAGCTCTCCGTCATCAAATTCCGCAGGTTCGATTAGGCCATCAATGACATCCCGACGATCATTCACCACTTTCCTTTCCATATAACCTCCTATCTAAATTATTTAATTATTCCCAAGCCCATTTAGGAAAACTTTTTCTTTGGTAAAGGAATGCCACCATCGACACTCCAGGGTATGATACCAGTATTTGTCACCCTCTCTCCTTATTAACCTGACTTAACTAAAATGTCCATTCCATAAATAAATGTATACTGAAGAGCATAGAATTCTTAATTTAATACTACCGCATTAATGGCTTAGCACGGACAGAGTATACTCTTGATTGAAATGAGTGTGTCAGTGCTTTGCACACATTCCAAGCGAAATGTCTGGGGACTTTCTTGCTATTTTCATTCTTCTTGTGTGATAGTTTCAGGATAGTTAGTATGGAAGTAGAAAGTTGAGAGAGAGAGAGAGAGGCTTGAAGTGGGGACATCGTTAGCAATTCCATCACATTTTAGAGGAGGCCTAATTTATAGACAGGCGACACAAAAAACGCACATCCACAGAACTTTTCCCATCATTTCTGTGACACGCAATACTGCCTTTCTCTTTGCGCCTACTACGACTGCCTCCTCTACCCATTGTGAGAAAGGGTCCGTAGATTTCATAACGCGTTTACTTTACTTTCCAGGCTTTTGGTCATGTGTAGGCAAATTTTTGTTGAATTTTTTGTTTAAATCGTTGATTACTTGCATTCCTCGTGAGGAGAGAGAGAGAGTGGACGATTAAGATTATTCATTATTTTTTTGCGTATAATTCTATGCAAAGGTCACTTTTTGCATGCGGAGAAGTTGCATATATCTCTTCCTGAAAGAATAAATCAAACCCCCTTCATTTAGAATTGAAGTTTTGTCACTTATTAACCTTCGGAGTTAAAATAGTTAATATGTGTGTTGTCATTTCCTTCCAGCTTTATTTAATAGCTGACTGGCAACTTGACAGTTTTTCACTTTTCAACTAATTTAACAGTGAATGACAGTTTTCTTTTCCTTGCCTTTTAGAATACCAACCGATGTGATATGAAGATGCAGATTTTACTAGTACCAGCATCATTTATCCTCCTACTTTCCTTATCAAAATTTGGGCATTGCTTGAATTGTCCAAACCTGTGCCAGTGTGTTTCTTCTATGATGGATTGCAAGCGACCTGGACTGGAAATCCTACCGCCAGCTCCTTCAAATAAACTTGAGATGGTTGTGATCGCTAATCAAAGCTTTAGAAGAGCTGTTCTAGATCGGGAAGCTTTGAGGCCATATCGGAGTCCAGAACATGGTGGGCAGGTTCGATTACGTATATTGAAAATTCGAAACTGTAACATAGTCAGCATTGCTTCGAATGCATTTGCCAATCTCGGCTCTCAACTTGAAGAGCTTGACCTCAGTGGAAATCCTCTTCATACCATTGAGGCTCATGCTTTCACCGGTCTTCGATTAAAGTCTCTATTCTTAAATAATCTCAATAATCCTGTGATCCATGACCAAGCATTTTCCAGCATTATTGAAGTTCACACTCTGAGCCTCCAGAACTCCCATCTTACTTCTTTACCACTCCGGCCTATGCTTGAGCTAGTCAATCATCGTGGTCTCAAGAGTTTGTCAATTAAAGGCAATCAGATTGCTCATCTATCTCCCACCTTTGAGCCTTCCTTTAGATTGCTCCAATCCATTGAGTTGAGCGATAACCCCTGGTTCTGTGATTGCAACCTACGATGGCTCATCCAGATGCAGAAATGGAACCGTCCATCGAAAGCCAATGGAGATAGTGATGACTCGCGAAGTGATAACCGACAACTTGCATGTGTCAGTCCTGTTGAGTTTGCAGGCTACACATTCGATGAGATTACCTTGCAAGATGGTGAAAGCTCGTCCGGATCGTATCCCCATTCATCTATATCAAAGCGGCCTATTCTCTCTTGCGTTATGCCTCAGATTGAACATATTGAGGTGGATTTACAACAGCCTCAGGCTGAAAAGGAGTTTGACAGTATGGCTAAAATCATGTGTCGAATGAAAGGTGCTCCCGATCTAGCTGTGAGTTGGATTTATCATGATGCAAACGGGGGCATTCGCAATGTAACTGAGATGGCCAAGCACCAAGAAGAAGGCAACCCACCGTCTTATCCTTTTACTGTCTCACAAATTAAACAACTTACCAGCCGACTGTCTATCAGACAAGTTTCAGAAACTGACCACTACTCTTGCATGGGTCAGAATATTCTGGGCAACGTTTCGATAACTGTGAAAATCCGTTGGCCGCAGAAGAAAACTGAGACCACTGAAATTGCCTCTAAAGATGATACTGTTGGGGGGAAATCTCTGTCAGAAGACGTGCCG